AATCCAGCTGCCTGCTAATGTGCTTGGGAAAGTGGCACAGTATGGCCCAAGTCCTTGGTCCCCTATATCTACGTGGGAGATCCAGAAGAAGCTACTGGCTCCTAGTTTCAGATCAGCTCAGATCTGGCCACTGTGGCCATTTGGGGAGTGAACCAGCAGACTGAAGACCTCTCTATCTGTCTCTATCTCTATCAGTAACTCTGTCAAATAAATAAAATAAATCTTAAAAAAAAATGTCAGAGTTATGGAGAGGAGGGAGAGTCAGATGGGATGGCATTGTGGACTACCAGGTAAAGCTGCTGTCTGCAGTGCTGGCATCTGGTATAGGCACCAGTTCATGTCCTGGCTCCTCCACTTCTGATCCAGCTCTCTGCTAGTGGCCCTGGAAAAGTAGAAGATGGCCCAATACCTGGGTCCTTGACACCCAAGTGGGAGACCTGGATGAAGCTCTTGGTGCCTGGCTTGGGCCTGGCCCAGTCTTCGCCATTGCAGCCATCCAGGAAGTAGACCAGCAGATGGAAAATCTCTTTCTCATTCTCTCCCTTTCTCTATCTTTGCCTTGTAAATAAATAATAAATGCTAAAAAAGAGAGAGATCTTCCATCTGAGATGGCTGCCATGGCCAGGGCTGAAGCACACAGAAACCAGGAGCCAGGCACTTCATCTGGGTCTCCCACATGGGTTACAATGGCCCCAACACTTGAGTCATCTGCTGCTGCTTTTCTCAAACCATCAGCAGGGAGCTAGGTTAGAAGTGGAGCAACTGGGACATGAACGGCTGTTCATCTGGGAAGCTGGCATTGCAGATCGTGGCTTTCCCCATTGTGCCCAAGTGCCAGTTTGAGTCACAGCTGTTCCACTTCTGATCCAGCTCCCTGCTAATGCAACTAGGGAAGCAGAAACAGATGGCACAAGTACTTGGGTCCTTGCACCAATGTGGGACACTGGGTTGGACTTCCAGGCTGGGCCAGCATTATTCATTGCAGTCTCTTGAGTGAACCAGCAGATGCAAGATCCCCATCCTTCTGTCTCTGCCTCTTCCTCTGTAACTCTGCTTTAAAATAAAATTTTTAAATCTTAATAAAATAGAGAGGGTGAGAGAGTAGCCACAGTAAAGTAACAGAGCAAAGCTATAGTTGTGCTGTCCCTCAGCAGCCTTCTGCCTTAAGTGGGAAGTCTCCAGCTTACAGACACTGACATAAAAGACACATTCACAACACATTCCAAAACAAGAGATGAGAGGTTTACAAGGCATATTGACTTTATGATGACTTTCATTCATTAGGTACACTGGGTTTAGCTATATGCCTTTGTGCAGCCAAGTTAACCCAGGGTCTAATTCAAAGAGACGTAATGAGGAAGATGTGCTGCCAGGGGAGAGAGCTGCAATGTCCCACTGCTCTTGTAACATCATAAAGAGAAGGAAAAGGGCTACTCATGTCCATGGTTATAAGGAGGACAGAAGCACAAACATTTCAGAAGGGAGGAGCAAATTTCAAATATAGTTATTTTCAGAAAATAAAAGGAAGTAAATTTCAGAATATGTGGGGTAGAAACACACCATCAGCTCATCAGTTCTCACAGGGATCCAGGAAAACTGCCCTGCCTACCCACAGACCAAATGTTTCAAAACACATTTTTTGATTAAATTCAAAAGATTACAGGAATCAGCACTCTGGGTGTTCAAACGCCAAATTAAGTTTTAGTTTCCACTACGGGCAGATGTAGCCAATCACTCAGATCATGAGAAAAACTTTTCCATAAGAAGGAACATGAAATATGCAGTCACACAGAATAACTGTGCTTAGTACACCCAGAAAACCTGTTAGGTCTTGGGGCCAGCACAGTGGTGTAGCATGTAAAAATTTATTTATTATTAAAAGGCAGAGTTACAGAGAGGCAGGGCACAGAGAGAAGTCTTTCATGCACTGATTCACTCCCCAAATGGCTGCAATGGCCAGAGCTGGATCTATCTGAAGCCAGGAGCCAGAAGCTTCTGTCAGGTCTCCCATGCGGTGCAGAACCCAAGAACTTGGGCCATTTCCACTGCTTTCCCAGGCCACGGCAGGAAGCTAGATCTCAAACAAGCACCCATATGGGATGCCAGCACTGCAGGTGGCAGCCTCACCTGCCATGCCACAGTGCCAGCCCTCAAAATAAACCTGTTTTAAAAAACATTTTAACTGAGGGATGGAGAGAGTTTGTTTATCCAAAGCAAGGATAACATAACATAACTACTACACAGAAGAAGCTCCTGGCTCCTGGCTTTGGATCGGCACAGCTCCGACCACTGTAGCCAATTGGGGAGTGAACCAGCAGATGAAGACTCTCTCTCTCTGCCTCTTCTCTCTGTAACTCTGACTTTCAAGTAAAATAAATAAATCTTAAAAAAAATAAGATAACTACTAGTACTCATTAACTTAAAAAATATAAATTTAATGAAACTCAAAATAACCAAAATCATCATCTACTACACATTATAATCTTTATTTTGAGAGTTATATTAGAAAAAATGTAACCCCTCCCCCTCTTTGAAACATGCACATGGGACTGGTGTAGTAGGTTAAGCAGACCCTGGCAGTGCCAGCACCCCACATGGGCACTGGTTGTTTCCGGGTGTGAAGCAGTTCTTCTCAGCAGAAACACATACTGCTTGCCCACTCACAAGCACTGTGATAGGGAGTACATGCGAGAAAAGGTCAAAACACACTGGTTTGAGAGGAAGAATGCTGTCACCCTAGCAACCTCTATCCAGGATTCCCTTTCTATTCTTACTTCCTAGGTAACCTTACTATGCTAAATGAGTTTCACAGATTAGTAATCTGGTGACAACAGGACTCTAACAGAATCTATGAATCACTCAGTTAATCAAGTGAAAACTTCATTACACTGAAAGTTAGTCTATAGCAATAGTTTTCAGGGCCACATCTCTCTTTTTTAAAAGATGTTTTATTTATTTATTTGAGAGGTAGAATTACAGATAGTGAGATGGATAGACAGACAGAAAGGTCTTCCTTCTGCTGGTTCACTCCCCAGTTGGTCAAAATGGCCAGAAGAGCTGCACTGATCTAAAGCCAGGAGCCAGGAGCTTCTTCTGGGTCTCCCACATGGGTGCAGAGGCCCAAGCACTTGGGCCATCTTCTACTGCCTTCCCAGGCCATAGCAGAGAGCTGGATCAGAGGCAGCTGGGACTCAAACTGGTGCCCATATGGGATGCTGGCACCACAGGCAGAGGATTAACCTACTGAGCCACAGTGCCAGCCCAAAGCCACATCTTTTACCGTACTGTGTGGGCATCTCTGTGGGGGAGAGGGCACATTTTCTCTTTTCTTCCTTACCCGTCTTCACAACACCTTGTACAAAGTCTTCCACAGACCAGTCATTTTGCAAATCTATCACTAATATCCTCCCATGTTGAAAATATCATGGTGTTAAACACAGAACCCAGAATAAGAATAGTAACTTGAAGCTGGTGTTGTGGCTGAGCGGGTAAAACCATATGGGTGCTGGTTCGAGACCTGGCTGCTCCACTTCTGATCCAGCTCTCTGCTATGGCCTGGGAAAGCAGTGGAAGATGGCCCAAGTGCTTGGTCCCCTGTACTTGTGTGGGAGACCTGGAAGAAGGTCCTGGCTTTTGGCTTCAGATCCATGCAGTTCTCACCATTGTGACCATCTGGGGAGTAAACCAGCAGATGAGAGCTCTCTCTCTCTCTCTTTCTCTCTCTGTGTGTCTTTGCCTCTCTGTAACTCTGCCTTTCAAATAAATAAATAAATAATAAATTTTTTAAAAAAGTAACTGGCCGGCATCGTGGCTCACTTGGTTAATCCTCTGCCTGCAGCGCCGGCATCCCATATGCACACCGGATTCTGTCCCATTTGCTCCTCTTCCAGTCCAGTTCTCTGCTGTGGCCCAAGTGCTTGGGTCCCTGCACCTACGTGGGAGACCAGGAGGAAGGCCTGGCTCCCGGCTTCGGATCAGCACAGCACGCCAGCCATAGTGGCCATTTAGGGGTGAACCACCAGAAGGAAGACCTTCCTCTCTAACTCTGCGTGTCAAATTAAAAAAAAAAATGTAACTGGCCCCCTTAATTAAAATCGTATGGACTGTAAGATAATCAGCTTGGTGGAGCATTGAGTGACTGTAAAGAACTAGACAAGAAAAATTGATACTTTTCTGTATTTATGTTTTTGTAGCTCTCCACTATGAAAATGCAGATTGAAGTAGCTCATTATTAACTCACACGGTAGACTTGCATTAATTTCAGCTCACTTCTCACTTTGCAAAGGGATTAGCAGCAGGTAATAAAAGTTCACATCCCTAATAACATGAGAAGAAAGAAGGGTTGAAGACAGAAATCGAAACGCAGGAAAAAAATCAGCTAGGTTTCCATGGCCTCAAGCTCCAGATTGAAAAGAGTCTGTTAATTAAACACGGAGGAGCGATCAATCCACAAAGCTACTGCACAAGCTTCACGTGCTGCTGGGAAAGTCAGCCAACACACAGCGCCCCAGCTGAAAATGTGTCCGCGGGGTCCAGCGTGGGGGCCAGGAGCCAGAGCCTACCTGATCTGATCTCCATCTCCACCTCTCCACTGCCTCAGGCTCTGGCTCAGGGCCACCGAGCCCCGCCCAGCTGGAACTACCAGGGGATATAGCCGGAGGCCAGCCACAAGGCATTCTCTGATCCACCCAAAGTGAGAACTGGGCTTATTTAAATCTAGGGAATGGGACTCCTTCCTTCAGCGTGCTCTCAACTGCCCTGCTGGTGCTGTTCCTCACCCAGTGTACTTTAAGGAGAATTTGAGTAGGCAGCCCGTGGGACTGGCCGAGCATCGGGAGACTGGGAAGGCGGTGGGAGACACAACACCTGGGCCCAGACTTGACTCTGCTGGAGAAGCTCCCAGCATCACTGAGAAGCAAGTGATCGAGGTCTGGGAGCCGCCACCCGCCATCGCACCCTCCCCTCCCCACACACATCTGTGCCCCTCCTGTTCTCCATACTTGCTGTGGAAAATCTCGGGAGCACATCCCCTTCCTTCAGGACACACAGGGAGCAAAGCGGAGAGTGTGGGACAGGAGAAGTCGCTGGAACTTGGGGCCCACGGTGGCAGATGCAGAGGCACAGAAGCAGTGGGCGGCAGGTCTGGGTGTGTGCTCCCGAACCGCCTGCAATTGCACTTGCAGAGCAAGTCTCCCCAGTGAATGTGGGAGAAGGAGCAGCGCGGCCTCTCAGGACCTCTCTGATCAGTAAATGAACTTCTGTTCCCAGCCCCGAGCCACAGGGAAAGGCACGCATGCGCACGTTCTCCCACATGCACACGCACAGGCGTTCAGAGCAGAAACGTTAGAGCACCGGTGACTCTGGGAAATGGAGTCCAGGCCAGGGCATTCCTAGATAGACTTACTGGCCCTCTCCTAGGGCTTCAGTGCGGGGTGGGTGGAGACAGGCTGGGAACCAGAGAGCGTTTGCTTTTGTTTCCATCCCTCCTTCCCTTCCTTCCCACCCCAGATCTCAAGGGTCAGCTGCTGTTCTTCCTTTCTTGAACAAAATCTTAAGAAGTGACAGCCACTGCTGCTGAGTCCCAAATCCCGGTTCCCTCACACACGCTGTTTCCCTCAGGAAAATCCCCTGCTGCTTTATTCCTGGACAGCTTCTCTCAAGTAACCATGACAAGGATTTCAATGTAACTCTCAGCACAGGTGTACACGGCACAGTTTAACATCTAGATTTGAGAATACATTTTTACTTGTGTCTTTTATTTGTGGTTCTTTTCAAAGCATTTTACACCACCCTCTAATTCACCAAGTAACAAAAAAAAAAAGAAACTGGATACAGGATAACATTGCCAAGTATCTTCTAGGGGCCAGATTAACAGAGTAAATGCCTTACTTTGTATCAATTATACCTTGGGTTAATTCTGGAGACCATATTCTCAATTTACAAAGAGAAAGCTGAGGTGGAAAGAGATTAGAATTGAATTTGCCCATGGAAGTATGGTAAAAAAAAAAAATCTAGGTTATAGGCCAACCAACATGAAATATTGGTTTAAGAAGTCTTTCGGGACCAGCACTGTGGCATAGTGGGCTAAGCCTCCGCCTTCAGCACCGACATTCTATACGGGGGCTAGTTCAAGTCCCTGCTGCTCCACTTCCAATACAGCTTTCTGTAGCCTGGGAAAGCAGCAGAAGATGGCCCGAATGCCTGGGACCCTGCATCCACATCAGAGACCCAGAATTTCCTGGCTCCTGGCTTTGGATCAGCTTAACTATGGCTATTGCAGCCATTTGGGGAGTGAACCAGTGCATGGAACTTCTCTCTCTCTCTCTCTCTGCCTCTGCCTCTCTGTAACTCTGCCTTTCAAATAAAAAAAATCTTCTTTTAAAAAAGAAATATTTCTTTTATCTTGGAGCTCAGTTTCTAAAACCCCAGATTTCTCATCTCTAAAATAAAAAGTGAGGGAGAGGAAGAGTATCTACAATCCTAATCTTCACTGTAGAGAACACATAGGATTATAACTTATCTAAAAAAGAAAAGGTTCAAAATTGCTATTGCTGTATGGTTTTTTTTCTCATGCTTAATATCAAGATAGCATATAATATTATGCATTCTTAGGTATATTTGTGGTGTTTGATTTTTAAGATTTTAAGTAGAAATGTAAATGGAAGCAGGATGACATGGAGTTCTGTTTGTGATTACTTCTGTCAATTATAATTCATGGGATTTGAATTGCTGGATTAGGAATGCTTAAATGTATCCATTCATTTCACACTAATGTTTATTATGTCAGGTGATATTCTTTGTGTAGACTGCTTTTTCTTGCCAGATTGAAAATTCAGGAGGGCAAGAAACATGTTTGCTTTGACATTGAAACTCAGCATCTTGATAGAGTCATTCTTTTAGTTGAATGAATAAATGAGGCTATAAAAATTAAACAAATACAATTTCTGATCCCCAATAACTACCTAGTTGAAGAGACAATGAAATAGATATCTATTTGATAACACACACAATTAGATGAATGTATAATTTGTTGCTCAGAGACAACTTTGATAATAAAAGAGACATATTCATAATGACACAGGGTTGAAATGTATAAACAGAAACCATCCAGGGCCAAGCAGGTTAAATGTTCACCCTAGCTTTGTAAGGCATTCCATTCATTATTTAGTAAGCATTTACTGAGCATTCTTTTGTGTGGTGTGTTGAAAGAACTACCAGCCACATGATTTTCCTAGTTATTGGAGTAAGAGAACCTGAGCAATCAGAAAAATGTTTGGATGAACTAAGAGGCTTTACACAAAGGTAAGAAAAACAAAAAGCACAGAGGTCAATTAAAAAGTATATCAAAGGTAATTTAGTAGGACCTGAACCAAGGTATGGTGGTAGTGGGAATGAAGAAGAGGCAACAGATTACAGGGAGATCCAAAAGGCAGAAACAACAGGATTTCAATGGTAGATGAAGGCAGGAGGGAACTCATGTGTAAATCTTCATTTGGATTTTATTATTTAATGGACAAGGAGTTCTCAGTACATTCATGTTCATCAGTAATTAAAGGCTACCTCCAACTGACATAAACTTCCCCTAAATCCAAGACACAATCTCATGGGTAGCTACTATCTATAAGCCTTATGTTGATCATCAAGCCAAATATTTTTCACTGCTACAATCTACAATGGTCCTCATTATGATGCAGTTACTTAGAAACTAAAGACATAATCCATTTCTATAAGAAAGGTCTAAATAAAAAGTAAAATTCAGGGGCTGACGCTGTGGCAGCAGGTTAACACCCAGGCCTGAAGTACCGGCATCCCATATGGGCCCCTGTTCAAGACCTGGCTGCTCCACTTTCAATCCAGCTCTCTGCTATGGCCTGGGAAAGCAGTAGAGGATACTTGGTCCCCTGCACCCACATGGGAGACCTGGAGGAAGCTCCTGGCTGCTGGCTTTGAATCAGCACACTTCTGGCCATTGTGGCCAATTGGAGAGTGAACCATCAGATAAAAGACCTCTCTCTCTCTCTCTCTCTCTGCCTCCCCTCTCTCTGTGTAACTCTGATTTTGAAATAAATAAGCTAATAAATATTTTTAAAAAGGAGTAGTAATGCTCAATATTTATAAAAAGGCCAGCGCCGTGGCTCAATAGGCTAATCTCCAACTTGCGCCGGCACACCGGATTCTAGTCCCGGTCATGGCGCCAGATTCTGTCCTGTTGCCCCTCTTCCAGGCCAGCTCTCTGCTGTGGCCTGGGAGTGCAGTGGAGGATGGCCCAAGTGCTTGGGCCCTGCACCCCATGAGACCAGGAAGCACCTGGCTCCTGCCTTCGGATCAGCGCGGTGCGCCGGCCAGCACGCTGGCCTCGGGGCCATGGAGGGTTTAACCAATGGTAAAAGGAAGACCTTTCTCTCTATCTGTCTCACTGTCCACTCTGCCTGTCAAAAAAAAAAATTATAAAAAAAAGTTAAGTTAAAAAACCCACAAAATCATATATTTCAAAGCTAAATTTGGAATACCTCACTAATTCACAATTTATAGATTCATCAACCTTAGGTAACTAAAGCACAATTAAGCAGGAAAGAAGTAAAAAAATTCCTTGGGGAGGGCCAGCACTATGGCATTGTGGTAAAGCTGCCACCTGCAGTGTGGCATCCCATATGGGCATCGGTTCAAGTCCTGGCTGCTCCACTTCTGATCCAGCTCTCTGCTATGGCCTGGGAAAGCAGTAGAAGATGACCCAAGGCCTTGGGCCCCTGCACCCATGTGGAACCTGGAAGAGGCTCCTGGCTCCTGGCTTCAGATTGACACAGCTCCGACCATAGCAGCCAATTGGGAATGAACCAACGGATGGAGGACCTTTCCCTCTCTTCCTCTCCTTCTCTCTCTGTGTAACTATTTCAAATAAATAATAAATCTTTAAAAAACAATTTCCTGGAATAGCCAAAATGCACATTATAAAGTCCAAGTAAGGTGTCTAGCCACTGGCTCACCATCATGACTCATAAAAACTCACTGTCCTGGCTACTCTGATATGAGTGGATGGACACAAAGCAGAAAAGAAAGCAATAGGTTTGAGCAGTGAATAAATGGAAAGGGCTCCAACAACAATGCTGCAGAGCTCTGTGGCTCCTAACTGAATGGGATATGCAGGCAGGCATCTCCTTAATTTCTGCCATGCTCTCAGTTGTCATAGGACCATAGAACTGAGCACAAGAATCAGAGCTTTCAAGTCCAACATCCACAATTCACTTAGTGATAGTGGAGCTCTGTAGCTTCGCTTCATGAGTACAACTAAACCTCCACACTTGATATGTCATCCTGTTAGGATCCACTGGAACTGGAGAGTGTATGGGGTCAGAGGGAGTAGAGGAGCATGGTGTGTGGGTCTCATGGTGGTGGTAGCTGTGCAGAGGGAGGGGTGGAGGAGGAGAGAGCAAGAGCCCCTAGCACTGTGGGAACGAGGAGCAGAGGAGGAAGGGAGACAGGGGTGACTTGTCTGCATTATGCCTGGTACTCTCCTGGGTATGATTGATGCAATACGAATAATGTGAATCATGATTACCCTAAAGGTGATTTCAGTCCTGGTGGACAAATGACAAGGACATAGATAATTCAAAACAATGTGACAAAAGTTGTGGGTGCAGAATACAATCACCTACATCATTTGTGGATGCCATGCCCATCAGGCAGGAACCCACCAGGTTAAGGTCAGATCTCAGGGCTGGCATTGTGGTGTAGAGGGTAAAGCTACCCCCAACAGTGCCAGCATCCCATATGGGCACTGGTTCAATTCCCAGCTGCTCCACTTCTGATCCAGAACTCTGCGGTGGACTGGGAAAGCAGATGGCACAAGCCCTTGGGCCCCTGCACCCTCATGGGAAGACCTGGAGGAATCTCCTGGCTCCTGGGTTCTGAGCAGTGCAGCTCCAGCTATTGCAGCCACCAACTGTGAAGTGAACCAGTGTATGGAAGACCTCTTCTCTCTCTGCCTCTCCTTCTATCTCTGTGTAACTCTGACTTTCAAATAAATAAATAAATCTTTTTTTAAAAAAGAGTCAGATCTCAGAGGTAGCAGAGCCCAGAAATGACACCATTGTATGAAATGAAAATAGGCAGATGGTAGGTAGAAGCTTGGTAACTAAAGCTGGGATCAGCACAGGATCTTGACTGGCAGGCTGTCAAACCAATCATCAACTTGGACTAGGCTGGGATCTCCCAACTTCTATCCTAGTG